CTTCTTTTAAATCACAATTTTCCGTATATACAAGGGTATCATCAGCAAATAAGAGTAAAATAAGGTTGTAGTATTTTATATCTTTATTCCATTTACTAATCAACATGGAACTGGGAGGTAAAAGTAGGTCACCGCAATAATTAGTTTGTGTAATTAAAGATGTTCATATTTTAGGTTCACTTAAAGAATTCCTAATTTTTCCTGCGCCAGCAAATATGTAATTCATTTTATTACAATTTTTGCAGGTTATATTGTTTGCAAGTTGCATGAACATAAAACAGAAACAGTTATACGGAATTCGCATGCGTCAGATTAATGGTTAGAAGATAATCCTCAAACCATTCTGATAGATTTCGAACAGGTTTGAATCTTGGATGGAACAGAAAACTGATAGTTTACTAATGGTTGGAAACTCACGTTGGAACGCAATCACATTACTGCGCACAATCCTGACTGTCAGAAACTGTTTCTGACGCTGGTTGGAACGAACCTATAATTACTTAAAATTTTTGTTATCTGTCCTTAGACAAGTACTAATAGTAATAACGAGTGTGAATATTGTAGACTTTTTCCTGTGTAGTGATTCCAATAGCGCTGATGAACAATGCGAAAAAGAGATACCAGTGAATAAGATTCAGATGCATTTGAATATTGAAACACATAGAGTATGTTTCAATGTATATAAGTTTGGTTCTTTGAAATTATGTGGAAAAAAACTTAAGGACTGCAATATTGACTATCATAAGAACATGGAAGCTAATATTTTTGAGGGATGGTTTGAAAACACATTGATCCCAAATTTGGATGCAAATAGAGTAATAGTTCTTGACAACGCTTCCTATCCTTCGCGACAACTCATCAAAGTACCGAATAAAAATTCGAGGAAAGATGAAATACAAAGTTTTTTAATGGATAACAATTTGTATTTTGAAGATAACTATACCAAAAACCAACTACTTGAAGTTTATCAGACAAAAACATTTGAAAAAGTGTATGCCCCCCTTGATAGTATTGCTGAAAAGTATGGACACACCATACTGAGACTTCCCCGCTATTTTTGTGTTTTCAATCCCATCCAGTTGATTTGGGGAAAATTGAAACAAAGCATCAGGTGTAAAAATAATTTTTCAAAATTTGATAAGAAGGTAATAGAGCTAAATAGAGGTAATAGCTAAATAGAGGCAATAGAGTTGAAGAAGATGTATTTAATATAACCGAAGAAGACTGGCAGAAAAGGATTAAAAAAGTAATTTTAGTTGATAAAGACTACATGGAGATTGGAAACTTCCATATTAATGGTGGAAATAAATTCATTATTGATTTAAATGACGACAGTGTTAGTGAAACTGAGAATATGTAAGAGGAATTATCAGAAGCTTTCGCTCCTATCTAATTATATGCGACTCTTAATTTTTATTTCCTTTTTTTGCTTGTATTTCATTTCACTGTAATTTCATTTTAGGGTTTTTTTGCTCAATAAATTGTTATATTCAGCTATTCATTTTGATTTTCTATTTTATTTATTCTTTCAGGGGTTTCAAATTATTTTATATAATATCAGACAATGGAAGTCCGAACTAATGAAATTCATTGTCAATTTTTGTTTGCAGTCATAGTACATGGCAACTCTTGGTATGTATCACGTGTAAAAAAACTCGAATTAATCATAGCTGTCTTACGAAAGGAGTTACAGTTCACGCTGAATAATTTAGGAAACTCCCATATAGTGCGATTCAGAGTGATCTAATATGTTACAAATACCTCGATCATGATTCGAAAATAATTCCAAGGATACATTGTTCAATGACTAGCACTAAAATATTCATTATTCACAACCAGCTACAATACTTTTTTGTCGCCAGGCAAATCGAAGCTTCTGCTGATGTTTTCTGAAATTTGTGTACATTGATTATTGTGACGTTTTATCAGTAAGTAATATGAAATGGAAAAATACAGTATTATTAAAAGAATAATATATTTTCGTCAAGGTCGAGCCGAGCTATATCAAATAAAAAGTATGTATCCAACGAAATTATTGACGTAAAAGAACTGAACGAGTACAGGAGTGAGCATAAAAATCGATTTTGATACAGTTGGAACACAAAATCATACGATGTTGGTATATTTTTAGCGTTTTCTTTTTGAATATTACCTTGAGAGTACGTGATCATTACGAAGATGCGTCACAAATTTCATGAAACTGGTCGTTTCGAGAAATAACCTGAACAGTCTGGAAATATTATTGGAAATTCCCTGATTAATAACACTTTTCAGTTTGCATCGTTTGAAGTTGAACTTCATTTAAATAGATCTATTAATAGAGTTCTTCGATTGATCATCTACTTATTTTGTAGAAATTCATGTTAAATATAGGATAAAGAAAATAACTTTTGTCTGTTTTTTTAATTTGTTACGACCGGTTTCGGTTTACTTGAGACTGGTTTAACAAACCGAAACCGGCATTAACAAATAAGAAATTCAGTAGAAATCAGATACAAGTTATTTTCTTTATCCTATATTATTTATTTATTTTATTAATTTTTATTTGTAATACAATACTCTACAGGACATAGCCCAATTATAGAGCAGGAAATAACAGAGTATATATAATAAATACATCACAAACAAGTGACTATAAAGACTACACATTTTATATTTATTATAGGTGACAAAACAATTATTTTAGGAAGTGGGATTTTATATTTGACAATTTGCAACTAAATATATCTAAATTATCGCTAACAGAATGTGTCACTTTACACATGGTATGTATGGATCGAAGAATTCTTCAGAACATTTGTGCGAGATGTTTTTATATAGAAAGTACTCGGGTGTCTGGAACAGATTCTAGGAATGCAAATATTAAACTTTTCCNGTGAGTTCAAATTATATCAAGGAGGTTACGTACAGCGCCATCTGCCCGCGAATAGATCAAGCAATGAGGTCGATAATTCTGTCTAGCTTGAAAGTTACAAGCAAATAAACAAACATACATACATAAATAAATACATACATTCATAGAGGTGAAGCTAATAAAAGCGTGTTAATTAAAAAGAAAGAAAAATATTTCATTTGAATGAACTTTCCACGTCTCTGTACATTTTCATGTGAAGATTTGCGATAAATTTTATATTTTCACTACAATTGAATCTTAGGGGGAAGAGCTTTATATAGATATGTGAATAATATTCCAAAAATTACAGAGTTATAATATAATTTTTAGTTTGAAATAGTATTCCAATTTCTGAGAAACTGATTTGCCACTCTAGTAAAGCAGGAAGACAAAATTAAGAAAAACTAATGTTTAGCTTTTATCATTCAGTAATAGTAAAAAATTGTTTAAGAAGTAGTGACAGATTGCTTTCTACAAATTCTAACTTTAGAAGGCATCACAAGCCATAATTAACTTCAAACTTTAAAAATGTTGTAGTCTGATCTTTTGAATGCTTGAATTACTTAAGAGACTAACTAATATGTATGATTGATGACTTGTTTATTTTGTGGTAATTAATGATCACTTTAATGAAATGAGTAAAAACACTTTTGTCTAATTACACCATCAGTTAATTTTATTTATACGACTGGTTTCGGGTTTAACCCCATTATCGAGTATAAAACTGACATGTAAACTTTGAAAACTCAGTTATATCGGGAGTTTTTGGGTAAGATGGAAGGACAGGTACCTATTTGAACGAACCAGGTTGCCAACTTTAAAATTCAACACTGAAGCTGAAGCATAATTTCACTGTGGTAAATGATGGTGCAGAGTCCCCATACACAGAATCCAACTCATCTATGATTTGCATAGGCGTATTGCCTTCCAAAAACAAATATTCAATGACAGCTCAATACTCGATTTCATAAAAACACTCACATAACTCACTCAAACGAATGTTACATAAAAACTGCGCGTCCAAAATGGCTGAAACTTCGATGAGTAACTGTCGAAAAATGAACAACGAAATTTACTAACTTTTATTTACGAGTGCTGCTATGCTCATGTTGATGTCGGAAACTTTTCAGACCTCCCTCGTATTTTCCTAAATCTCTGCTCCTGCAGGGACCCACATTCGTGCAACATCATTTATGATAACATTTCGTTCACATTTAACAACATCAGTTTCTCATTATGAATGTTACTGGAGTTTTATCCCAACACCAAACCGTTATTTTTAATACCTCAACAGGTGTTTCGATCACCAAGTGATCATCTTCAAGAGGAAGATTAAACCCTTATTATGTTGAATATAAAAAAATGCAATATCGTAGATAAACATACGAGATATAAAATTCAAAATATCTTTTTAATCTGAAGTTATAAAAATATTTTACAAATACCTTAAAAAAATGCATTATAGTGAACGAATGAATAGTGAAGGTATCCAAATCTTTGGCATAATTAGACTACTTTCTGGAACATGTTCAATTTCAAAGTTGAACTATTATCAAAACCCAATTTTAATTAATTTATATCACTAGGTGACAATCTTTCTAATAGGGAAGATTTGTATGAAATCAATAAATATTTTGAATTTTACTCCCAGATATTCAGATTTTGTTTACTTGAATCTCTGTTAATGGGGGGAAAGGGAAATAAGTATCAAAATTGTATTCACTCAAGTTCAATAAAAACACTCTAGGTCAGGAAACACGTCAACTGTGGCTGAAAAAAGTCATACACACCTTGTAGGACTTGATAAAATGAATTTTAATTAAACAGATTCGATGTTCGGGGTAGATTTTACACAACGATACGGTTCAAATTAAAAAAAATATTTTTCGGTACAATTTTCAGTCCAATTTTTTTCAAGTATTATTCACATTTTTACCCAGCTCAACCACCTATCTGACCATAATTATAAAAAAGAAAATTGAATATGAAAATGAATTATCCATATAGTTTTTCCATTATGTGGAATCCATCACAACCTAATAACAAATAAAACCGGCCTAAGTTGGATTCTAGAACCAAAAATAAACTGAAAAAATAAAAAAATTACCTGTACTCATATTGGAGTCTTGGCTATGTACGGGTTGTGTTACGTTGATTGTAGACTGTGGTGCCATCTGTATCTGAGATCCAGCTGACATCTGAAAAAGAAAAACACATGAATACTCAAATATCGAGATGAATATGACAGATGATGGTGGTAAACGCGAAGCCAAAGTTTAAAATGTTTTTTTTTTGCACCACATACCATCTGGTATCAATCATAGAACTTTTCGAATAAATACTGCTAAATTATTTATAAGAACTTTATAGGTTCACTAACATTTATAATATTTTTCCGATTCCTACTTACAGAATATTGAATTAAAATTTCGAAAATGTCACTTGTTTCAATTATCGATCTTAAATCATCGTTTATCAAGTCAAGAAAATGTTAGAATCGAAGAAGTTGCAAATTGATCAATATACTGTGTAACTAATCAGTGGGGACTAAAAATTTAAAATGCATTAAAATAATTTTACTTGAATTCTAATACATTTTGAATTTTTTATAATTTATCATTTATAAAATTATATTAACAGAATAAAAAATTTTTTTTTAAATATTTAAACTTCATCACAAATTGTGGAAAAATAAATGAAAAATTGGCAAATAGGTACAATAAAAAGGCGACAAGAAACCACTATTCAATCAATTTCACAATTCGATAAAAAATCAAAACAGGAAAACGAAAATGAGGAGTTTTCATTACAATACAGTACTTAGAACTGGATTATGAAATTGAAATAGAAATAAATTGAGCAGAACGGAAACATTTTTGAGAACAAAAGTGGACTATTATCAAAGAATGTCAATTATTAATTGAAACCGTGGACAGATGTAATAAATAGCCACTGGGATCGATTGACAAATATTTGCTAAATGAGTAGACTTTAATTTCTGTGAGTAATCTAAAATGTTATTTGAGTTACGACAGATTTGCTCTCTTAGATAATCCGGTAACTTGTAAAATTTTATGCAACTGTACTAATAATTAGATCGGGGCTTCAGATTGAATTTTTGTAAACCGATACAAGAGACACCATGATGAAGAATGGTGTTAAAGTTTTGCGTTGTGCCCGTTATACCGGATAGTGAATTCCCAAAAGCAAAGCCATCTTCTGCAACACCAACTAGGTAGAAGACTGAAAAATAGATAGCATAAAATCGGTTTGAATTACATACAGTTCTTACTCTTGAACTGATTGTAGAGCAGCAGTTTTCATACGTTCACCCCGGACTGGATCACAAAATACCTAAAGCCGTTATTTATAAATCTGATCTAAATTTAGTACAAGGAATATATTCGAATCCACTTCTATTCATTGTTGGTAAAACCGTGATCTGTTTTCAAATCAATGCGTTAAGAATGTCAGCAAGCCTTATTGTTAGTAAACGAACTGAAAAAAAAATGCAGGAGTGTAAAATTGCATCTTTCATTTTCAATGTAATTGTTCTTTTCTTGGTTTCTTGTATTTGATCCAAGAATATCTCAATAGTCAAAGAATTGGATGTAATTCATCCACAGTTGATTTACTTCTTGCAATTGAATTCATTGCTTTGCAAGGTCGTCCGTCATCCATCTGTTCTTTCTTTTCATAACCAATGAATATCAGTTTAGATTTATTATTAAGCATCACCAAAGGTATAATTGAAAGCTCAAACAGCTTTATTGGATATGTACAATTTCAATTTAACTCTTGGATATTGCTGAACTTTTTAACAATGTGTTAAACTGCATTCAAAACTAAGGCATAAAAATTATTCAATTTGGGATACTGATCTGAAAGCTGAAAGTGGTATTATTATTGGGTTGTTCAGATTTTTTCCGTGGAAATAGAAAGAGTGATTTGATAAGTAGATTTTGAACCTTTGGTGAAAAATGAATACATAGAAAACATTTTTCTCAACGCCAGAACAAAAAAATTGCCTTAAACGCGCATTCTATAGAAAAAGTGTTTTTTATACACAAAACGTGATAAAAAATCCATATTCTTCTGATCAAATATGAACCGAAAAAAAATACAAGTTTGATTTATTTTAAAGACAAACTTTCGACTAAAGCTGAATTCTTGCAACAATTTCAAGATGAAAGTTTTAAGTTACCACAAATATCAATGATAAACGAAACTCCCAAAGGCGGTGCGCCGAAATAGATTTGTCTTGTCTTTCTCTTCAGCTTTCACTGCAAACCAACTAATCGAAAAAAGAGCCCAAAAATAAAGCGTTCGTTCGACTGTTTTGAGCTGGCACAGGTCTCAAGTGGTGCTAGACAAACCACAAATGAACTATTGTCCCTAAAAGAACAAACCTGAGTATAAACAAGCTTTTATATTTCCCTTATGTTATTTGTAAAACAGTAAACTCAATTCACGAATATCAAAGGTTCTCCAAGGCGGTTGGCGATTCGTCTTGTTTCTTAGTCAACATAAATTTATAAAACTTCTGACTTGTTAGACCGGTACATACAGAGGACTGGATCCTACGGGAGAAGAAAATAAAGAGCAGATAGTTGTTGGTTCACAGATGGATCAAAAACACCTTCCGGTTCCGGTGTTTTCAGTCGCAGACACAGGACAGATATATCAACCTGCCTAGGAACCTGTGCGACTGTATTTCAAGCTAAAAAACGACTCTCCTCGATAAGAAGACTTAACATATTGTCTCTGGTCTGGATTCCTGGCCATATTGGCCTGAAAGGTAATGAGGCTGCTGACTCCTTTGCAAAGGAGGATGCCGCAAGCAGCTTCATCGGACCAGAACCTGTAATTGGCATCGCTTTAGGATTTGCCTAACAAACATTGAACAAACAAAGATTGAACACCTAAATGGCAAGAAGATTTATGGAATTCTGGAAGAATCTTCCAGGACTGGCTCACTTCAAGGTGTTTATTCACCCTTCGAAGCTTGATACCAAACAGTTGTTGGACTACAGTAGGGATGAACTACGAAGTCTAACAGGTCTTCTTACAGGCCACTGTCATTTGAATCATCATATTCAGAGACGCGGACTGTCGGAAGACACTGTGTGTCTGTCGCCTCTGCTTGGAAAATGATGAAACAGCAGAGCACATACTTTGTGCTCAACATACAAACTAATCGGCTTCGTTAAGAAGCTGGGTTTTTTGGTCGACTGTAAATAGGTGTAAGCCACAATAAACCCTTCCAAGTTGCGGTGGAGGGTCAAATAGACCCACTCACTTTGGACCTAACCTATTGTTACCTAAGACAGGTACATGGCCCACCTTAATATATCTGTCACCAGGTTTGGTTAGGTATTCTACCGAACCGGAATGAATCCTACCTACACAAAATATTGAAATTTGTACCCTGGGCGTCATGATTTTTGTAAGAGATCATTGCAGAGAAACATTTACAGAAAAAGTTGCAATATTTCAACCTCTGAAGATATCCAAGTATCTTACTGTACGAAACAGAAAAAACATTCCTATGAAAGGAAATCCCCATTTAATAAGTGAGAGAACAAAGGAGGTTTTCCAATAAATATTTCAAATGGAATGCGCGATAATAAAATAATACATCCGATTTTTCCTGATGTATGCCTTAAAATGCTTGTTGGCTATGGTTTGAATAAAATTGATATACGAGTTAAAAAGTATGTCCACATTGAAATTAAAAATTTCTCAGCATGTGACCTATTGGTACAGTATTGCTTTTGAAAATTTTGAAAAATAAATTATACGATAGCACTTCACCAGATCTAAGTGAAATCAAAACAAAAAAATAGGTATGTGATTGGTAAACTTGCTAAGGACTTGCATAAAAAATGAAGACAATTTGAAAACATGTATTGTCATTTGAATTTTGGTACAATGATACTTTCCGTTTGAATGTCATTAGTAGTCGAAATTGGCATAATATCGATCAATACAGAATAAATAATTTTGATATTCTTTTATTATGTTATAGGATAGCATTTCTAGCACGAAAACTTGCCGTGTGAATTGTGAATGAAAAGTGATTCAACGTTCGATGACGTTTCAGATGGGCTTTTTCTCTCGGAATGCATTTCGAAGAAACATCCATGTAATTGGACTGACCGATAATTGATGAAAATCCATAATAACGTATTCAAAAAACAGTTCACGAAACCGCGACGTGTTTCGATATGCAATAGCATCTTCAGGCGTCACAATACTGACAGAATCAGTATTGTGACGCCTGAAGATGCTATTGTATAGCGGAACATGTGGCGCGATTTTGTAAACTGTAAAGTGAAAATCTTCCATTAAAGTGTTTTTTAAATAATGCATGTAATTTAAAGACAGTTTCCCGAAGAGTGATACTTTATAATTTTATCTTCTTTTCTTGTACAGCTTGTTGAACAAAGATAATGATATAAAAATGAAAACGCAGCATGTCATAAAAATTATAGGTGGAATAAAAAATTAACAATATTTAAAAAAAATGCAGGTCCGTATTAGACATATATAGATTTTAAGAGAACGTGGGTGACATTCAACTAGCTTTACATCTCTAATCGTTTTCAAGATAGTAATTGATATATAATGAAAAATGTGAAATTTTTTTAGAAATTAAATAACAGAGTAGAAGTATAATGAATATCATTCTCCTAACAATTGAATTGATACTTATAGAAGACTAGTTGTTGCCCGCGGCTTCGCCCGTGTAGAATTTGATTTGTCACATTAAGTTTCGTGACAGACCATTTTCAACAAATAGTTACAAAATTTTATTAACCCAAAACTTCAGGTTTCCAACTTCAAAACTAATGAAATTCAATACAATGTTTGAACCCCTATTTTTCCCCCTTGAGAGTGGAACTTCCTGATTCCCTTTCTTGATGTATATTTACGCTAAACAAAGAACCTACCTGCATATTTCAAGATTCTAGGTTCAGTAGCTTCGGCTGTACGTTGATATAAGAGCAGACAACAGCTAGTAATTTATATTTTTACTTAAAAATTACAGTAACTAAAAAAATATGCCAACTGAATCGAATTATGTTACCTATAAAGAAATTCGCAAAACTAACACAATCGTCAACGACGTCTGTCTTCACGCGTCTGTCCGCGTTCGGGTCGCGTTCTCGACGATGGCGCTTCATTGCTTAGACCG